TGTAACTGTCTTTCAAATATAAGTGAAATAAATCTTAAAAAAAGAAGAAAGCTAATTGTAAGCAATGGTACAGATTGCACATGGGTCCGAGGGAAATTGTGTTGCTGGTAGGAGAGGAGCTGAAGGAGGGAGAAGCATGGCTGAATTCCAGAGTTCCAGAAATCGGGGTCCTCCAGGTCTTCATCCGGAGGAACCCTAGGAGTTGGCCCAGCCTGGGGCTCTTCCTGGGTAAGGGTGGAGGTGGTGGGTGGCGTTGCTGGGGGCAGAGTCATGTTCCCTTACACGTGGCTTCAGGCCTGACACTGGGGGAGAGGTGGGTGACAGCAGGGGTGGACAGGAGCCCCTTTCCCTGTGGACAGGAGCAGTAGAGAGCAAGGACTCCCAAACCCTGCATTTCAGCACCTTTCCAGATCTTCGAAGCTTTTTACAAATAAAACCAACATCCCCGGCAGGAGAGGTGGAAAGAGCAAGGAGGAGGTTACCGAGGGAGCTGGCCAAAGAGAGCTGATGCTGCCGACCCTTTGCCAGGAGGTGGGGAACAGAAAGAGTGTTCGGACGTGGAGGTGAACCAGGCATGGCCACCCCGGAGGAGCACCTGGACCACGGGAAAGCCCCAGGGGCCACTCGGCCAGGAGTCTCTTCTCTCAACCTCGGTCTCTCACCCTCTAGGTTTAGGGCCCTGTTTCTGTTTCCGGCTCTCTTTGGCGGAGGATCAGGCTGAGCAGAGGTGGGATGCTAAAATAAAGGCCGCAAAGGAACCTGCCCGAGAATCCCACCCACACTGACTTCATAGGAAGCCGCTTGTCCAAGTGTCCGCCATCGCCAGGGACCGTATTTCATCAGGTTCCCTGGCCTCTTTCTGCACAGGAGCACCTGTGCTAGTGTTTGCTCTGCGTCTTGTAGAATCATATAGACATGGGATAACGATGCTGGAAGTAGAGAAAGAGTGAGCACCCTGAGAGCACAGAGCTGAGACGGCTGGACTCTGCCCGGCAGCCTGGGCCTCCCGGGGCCCCCTGCTCCGCCTCCAAGTAACCCTGGCCCCAGCAGAAAGGCGAACTGGCAGACTCAGTGGTCTATCCAGATGCCCACATGGAGGGGTTTCTAGATTTAGACACAGAGCGCCTTTTCCCTAGTGGGCTGTTCTTGTTTTAACTTGCTAAGAAATAAAAAAAAAGGAAGTAAACAGCTGTGTGGTTGTAGAAACATCTATCACCAGTAAATATTAATGGAAGACGGTAAGAAAAAAATTGGGGATCATTTTCTAAGTGGGATGCTTAATGTTAATAATTTCGCGCATTTGTTTGCCCAACACTAGCAGAACACATCCTGTATTTTTCACTGCCTGCACCACGACAGGTACCAGGGTGACACTAAACCACGAAGACATCCGTTTATTCGTTTGGCAAATATTACCGAGTCGCTCTCATGCGCCCAGCACTGAGCGAGGCTTTAGCAGGGAAGGATGGGAAACGCCTCTATGTCCCCTACAATTTTGCCTGATATCAGGCAACGTAGGGCTCATCGATTCTATCATTTCTCCCTGCATCAATTCCTTCATATCTACTCCCCAGTGTCCACCCCTGGGGTGGTGTGAGGTCTGCCCCTGCATTCAAGGGGCTGGAGGCACCGCATCTCAGCTCCGTCATCATGAAGTCACTCAACCATCCACCCAGCAGAGAGCGAGGGGAACCATGGCCCAGAAAACAGTGCAAGGAGGTGTGCTGCGACTGGCCTGGGCTCTGGCCCTGGGGCTGCTGGAGGAGGCTGTGTGTCCGGGGTCACCCCCCTGGGGCTGCCTCTGCTTCCCGGGTGCCCAGTCTTCTCACGTGAGCAGTTGGTGTTTCATGGCAGCAACAGTATGTCTTCTTAAGAACACACTGTAGATTCCAACAAATATCTAAGGGCTGACCTTGGCCAGCCTCACCAAGCAACAGGGCCTTCCTGGAAGAGGGGCCTTTGAGTCTGGGTTTGGGGGAAATCTGAGTGGCGTGGGTTGGGCTGGCTTGGGGAGCCGTAGCATGTAGCCAAGCTCCAGGTGTGGCAATAAATGCTCAAAAGAAACACGGGAGGTGATGATGAGGACGACCATTAAAAAAATTGGGCCTCATTAAAATGCAGAGGCAGGAGGCACAGGGCTCCTGGGGATGCTTCTAGTTCTAGAATCCTAAAGTTTGTCTCTGAAACCTACAGAGAGGTTTCTCTGCTCCTCCATTGGCAGAGTAGCTGGCGGGGGTCGAACACTCCTTCCTGGAGGTCCACAGCATGAGATGGTGAGGCACCTGCCGTGGTGTGGTCAGAGCAGGGCCTCGCAGGCTTGGGGTTGATGAAGGCTGTAGGGCCATGGCTAACACTGATGGGCCAGAGCCGCGGTTCACCCCCACCTCCGGCATTCCTAGCTCCCCCTCGGTGGACGCACATGGTTCTCAAGTCACTTCTCTGTGTGTGACGGGAGACAGAGGGGGTGGGAGCTTTATCCTCCCAGGGACCGGAAGGAGGGGCTCACTGAACAGCGGGATGGCGGAGGGACTGCCGGCCCTGCTATTTATAGATGAAAGGTCATCATCTTGCTTTGTTCTTGTGATCTGTAATTCCCAGCTTTTTCCTTCTCGAATTTCTCACTTCCTCCCTGCGAGTAGTTTTCCTTTAGTTTAAAAAACAACAACAACAACAACAACAACAAAAAACTTGACTCATTGGCTACCAGTTTTCTCAAATTCCCAAAGGGATATGAGACAGCAACAATTCAGCCACGTAAGAACTCAAGCCAGGGCAGGTGTTGTGGCAAAGTCGGTTAGGCCAACCCTTGAGACGCCTGCAGTGGGCCTGGGAAGGCAGCAGAAGATGGCTCAGGTGTGAGCGCCCCTGCACCTGTATGGGAGACCTGGATGGAGTTCAGGGTTCCTGGCCCAACCCCGGCTGTTGTAGCCATTTGAGGATTGAATCAGTGGATGGAAGATCTTTCTCTGTTTCTCCTTCTCTCTCTGTTGCTCTGCATTTCAAACAAAATAAGTGAATCTTTAAAAAAATTCAAGCCAGGGCCGGTGCTGTGGTGCACTGGATTAATCCTCTGCCTGCGGCACCGGCATCCCATATGGGCGCTGGTTCTAGTCCCGGTTGCTCCTCTTCCAGTCCAGCTCTCTACTGTGGCCCGGGAGGGCAGCGGAGGATGGCCCAAGTGCTTGGGCGCCTGCCTCAGCATGGGAGACCAGGAAGAAGCACTTGGCTTCTGGCTTCGGATCGGCACAGCTCTGGCCGTTGTGGCCATTTGGGGAGTAAACCAAAAGAAGGAAGATCTTCCTCTCTGCCTCTCTCTCTCACTGTCTGTAACTCCACCTGTCAAATAAATAACTAAAATCTTTACCAAAAAAAAAAAATTTAAGCCTCAGGGTCAGGCCCTGGTGTAGGCACTTTCCCAAAATGCACTCGTCCACTGCTCCCAGGGATCCTTAGAAGCAGGCATCACTATCATGCCTCTTCACAGATGACAAAACTGAGACACAGCATACAAAAACCCATCTTCAAAGTTGTCAGGGCACAAGGGACCACAAACACTTAAATCCTCGAGAAAGCCAGCTCTCGTTTCGGGCAGTTGGATGGAAAGTACATCTGCTAGTTTGCAGGAGACAGCTCAGTAATCAGAGGGTAAGATGCTTGTTAGTGATTAGGGGAATGTTTTGCTCATGTCAAAGATGAACCAGAGACACGGCTTCCTTTTTAGCTCCAATCACAAAGCACGACGGCTTTTCCCGTTGGCAACCTTCCATCATCCCCAGGGGGACGGAAGTCGGACAGCAGCCAAGGAAACAGCAGCGCGACAGCCAGGGGGGCCAGGGGTGACTCACAGCTGTTTCCTGGTTCCACCCACCGCAGGGCGGCGAGGAGCAGCAGGGCCACCTGCAGAGAGCAGCTCCACCTCCGGCCAGCGGCCAGCGGAGAGTGAGAGGGGCTTGGCTTGCTTATTTTGTTTTGTTTAAATCATTAGGAAATACCAAGACCTCCGAACTGTTTCCTTCCCCCACCCCCACCCCATTCAGGCAGCAGTCTCTTGATGCCTTGGAGAGAAAGATGTGATGAAAGTGCAGAAGAAAATATTCTTTTCCCTGCCTTTTGAGTTTCAAAAAAGATCGGATGAATTCAACCACAGAGACACGGAGGGGTGGGTACTGGGTGCGACCAGCACTGAATCAGCCCAGCACCCCTTCCCCAGGGAGAGTAGACAGGGAGAATACAGACTTTGGTGAGGGTCCTGAAAGGGGACGCTTGTGCTTTGTCTAAGCCTCGGGTTGCAGGCAATACCCCCAGCCAGACTGTGGAGTCAACACCCAGAGCCCCAGTGCCACTTCCTGGGAAGGGCTCTGGGGAGGTGCAAGACCCCAGAGCTGCAGGAAAGCCGGAGCCTGGACAGCAGCTAAGAGTGGGGAGGTCCTGAACCTAGAGGGAGGAGAGAGTGTCCCAACAGCAAGCTGGGAGCACACCGAGGACCCCCGGCCCTTGGTTAGTGCCACAGAAGTTCTGGGCAGAGCACTCCAAATTGCCCACAGTGGCATTCCTGCCACCTGGCGAAACAGGGACTCAGAACACAAATAAACCGACTTATATTTCCACCAACAGGAGTCCCCTCAAGCCCCACCACTTGCAGTCCCAGAGCCTTGCTCGCAGCGTTGTGTTTGGGGCGGGGCACAGGGTCACCCTGGCGGAGCGCGCAGATACCATCAAAGCACGCATTTCTGGGGAGGGGTCTCCCCAGCGCCAGGTGTCTCCACGCAGAATTGGCGCTGTGGTCGGGGAAGGCCAGCTCCCCATGGAGACGCCCCCTTCTTGTCTGGAACCGTGCATGCCCGACCTGCCCGTCCCCTCCTGACCCACCCACCTCCCTGTGTTCAGGCAGGAATTTAAAATTCCAGATCACAAGTGTGTTGAGCAGAGGCCTTCAACCTCAAGTCTGGAGTTCACGGGGTCTCCAGGGCCCCCCTCTCCCGCCCAAGGCTTGCCGGTACCTGGCCTCCATGGGCTGCCGTGTCTTCATGGTCTGACTTGGCTCCTCTTGCACGAGGCTCTCTGATGGAGACATCCCAAGCATGGCTGGGCTGGCATGTCCTTCCCTCACGTCTCTGCCCCCATTCCTCCCCCTCCCACCCCTCACCATCCACCTAGCCACCTGGCAGACCACCAGGCATTGCCTCCTCTGTGAAGTTTTGCCAGGTAAAGCTAACCACATCCTTTGTCTGTGACCTCACTATGCCAGGAGCCCATGGTTACCATGGCTCCTGCACCTCCTCAGTATCTTTTCGTCCCATCACCAGACTCAGAGTGAGATCAGGCAAGGGGCAGGATGGGGGCAGAGAGACAGGAGAGGAGCAGCAAAGAGGATTGCTAACTATTGTCCACAGAAATTATCCCCGCTGGGAAATTATCCCCGCTCCTCTGCCAAGGTCATATTAAAATGAAAAATGATGAAAATTTTAAAAAGAAGAGGCTGGAGTTGGGTGCAGGGGCGTAAGTGTCTGCTTGGGATGCCTGCTCCCATGTTGGAGACCCTGGTTTAAGTCTTGGCTGCTCCACTTCCCATCTGGCTTCCTGCTTGTGCCCCTGGGAGGCAGCAGGTGACGGCTGAGTGTCTGAGCCCCTGCCATCCACGTGGGAGACCCAAATGGAGTTCCAGGCTCCCGGCAGCAGCCTGGCCCAGGCCTGGTGGTTGCAGGCATTTGGGGAATGAACTAGCACGTGGAAGGTCTCTGTCTCTCAAAATAAAACGAAAACCGAAAAATTTTAAAAATATGAAGAAAATAATAGGAAGGTCACGATAAGAGAATGAAGGATGGTCCTTTGAAAAAAGGTATCTCAACTTCTACACACACACACACACTCACTCATACACACACACTCATACACACACACACATGCTGCCCTCATACTCTCACTTGCCCTCAGCCCACAAAGTGGGGACCAGCTCGGGGGGGGGGGTGCCTGGTGGCTTGTGACATCACACTCCAGCAGCTGAGGTTTCCCTGGCAACCAGAACCCCAGGGATGCCCTTGGGAAGCTGTCGGAGGCCCCGCCCCTCGGGCCTCAATGTAGGTTGCTGAGCCCTAAGGGAGGCCATCAAGGCTAATAACACCATCAGGAGACTCCCAGCAAAGGCAGCTGATTAAAGTGCACCATGGGACTTTGCAGATGCTAAATCTCATTCGCACAAATAAAACAAAACAAAAATCCCATTTGCTTTTGGAGCCTCGGACTGGAGAAGCGCTGGGGTGGGGCCTAGCAGACCTTCCCATCCCAACACAGGGTTTGGAGGAGGCTCCGGAACTCGGTTCAACAGCCAGGGAAAGTGTTCAACAGCCAGGCGAGTGTTAATACCCACAGTCCAGGACAGGTCAAGTCTCCAATCCGGAACACGGAGGGACGAGAGTGTGTTCAGATCTGGGACTCTTCTATGTCTGTACTAAATATGTGTGGGATTTTCTAAGTCTGTATTTACTTATTTAAAAGGCAGATTTTGGGATTTTGGACTTATTTTTTTATTTTTAGATTTGGGATTTTTAAATAATTTTGTGCATGGAATAAAGCTTCTTGAGGTGGCATTTTCCACTTGTGGAGTCATGTTATCACTCGGAAAGTGTCACATTTTGGAACACTTGGATTTCAGACTTCCTGATGAGGGATGCCCGCCCCACGTGTGACTGTGTGCGTGGGGTCTCACCCCATGTCCCCAAACCACCTGCTCTATTTTTAGCCTCTGTGCACCATTTGATGGAATCGTCAATGTCCCCTATTGTCACAAATATTTTGAAATTCTGAAATAAAATGAATACGTATCTGACCCACATGCATTACATATATAGGAGAAAGGCAATTTATAACCACATAACTTTTTTTTAAAAAAAATTGCTTATTTATTTGAAAGTTGAGTTACACACAGAGAGAAATAGAGGCAGAGAGAGAGAGAGATCTTCCATTCTCTAGTTCACTCCCCAGTTGGCCGCAACGGCCGGAGCTGTGCCAATCTGAAGCCAGGAGCCAGGAGCTTCTTCCGGGTCTCCCACGTGGGTGCAAGGGCCCAAGCACTTGGGCCATCCTCCACTGCCCTCCCTCTTCTACTGCTTTCCCAGGCCATAGCAGAGAGCTGGAGTGGAAGTGAAGCCTCTGGGACTCGAACCGGCGCCCATATGGGATGCCGGCACTGCAGGTGGCGACTTCACCTGCGACACCACAGCGCCAGCCCTACCACATAACTTTTGTTTTCCTGAAATGATTCCTTTAATTACAATTTATACAGAAGAAATGTTTATTTTTATAAATTCATGTTCCTATTGCCCTGGACAGGTGGTCTCCCGTTCAGGACTTAACATCAGTGACTTCAGGAGACTTGAGGAAGAGGTCACGCAGTCTGATGATGGCCAGTGCGTCCTCCACCTGAAAGCCGAGAAGAAAGGGGTCACAAAATCAGCAGCTTAGGGCAGAGCACGGACGTCCTTGGTTTCTTACATTCCGTGATGTCAAGTTGAAGCGTATCTGAAGTCCCAAATGTTCCATGCTAGGCGTAAATCTCTTCATCCAGATGGTGTGTATCTGTTAGCTGGGCCCGGAATTTCCCCCGTCTCTTCTTTCCCACTCAGGAGTCGGTCCCCGGACAGGGGCAGGGAGACGGGTCTCTGCCCCTCGATGTCCATGCGGCCTGCGTCACCCGCCTCCCCCTCTGTCGTTTTTTTCACCCACAGGCCACCCTTGCGAGTGACTTGAATGAATCCGTCCTCGGGCCCAGCACCCTGCGTCTCCATCCCAGCTTCCATTCCCCCAGGAACTTCCAACCCGGGTCAGCGCTCCCAGCTCGAACAGGTGCACAACCACATTGCACAGGCCAACCACATAACTTTTTTTAAAAAAATGGCCAGCACCGCGGCTCACTTGGCTAATCCTCCACCTGCGGTGCCGCACCCTGGGTTCTAATCCTGGTTGGGGCGCCGAATTCTGTCCCGGTTGCCCCTCTTCCAGTCCAGCTCTCTGCTGTGGCCCAGGAAGGCAGTGGAGGATGGCCCACGTGCTTGGGCCCTGCACCTGTATGGGAAAGCAGGAGAAGCACCTGGCTCCTGGCTTTGGATCGGTGCAGCGGCCATTTAGGGGGTGAACCAATGGAAGGAAGACCTTTCTTTCTGTCTCTCTCTCTCTCACTGTCTAACTCTGCCTGTCAAAAAAAAAAAAGTTTATTTGAAAGGCACAATAACAGAGAGACAGGGAGAGGCAGAAAAAGGAGAAAGAGAAAGACCTTCATCTGCTGGTTCCATCCCCAAAGTGGCCATAAGGGCTGGAGCTGGGCAGGTTGAAGCCAGGAGCCTGGAACTCCAGCTGGGTCTCCCACTTGGGCCATCTTCCACGGCTGTCATCAGCAGGGAGCTAGATCGGGAGTGGAGCAGCCGGGACTCAAACTGGTGCTCATGTAGGATGCTGGCGTCTTGGGCAATGGGTCAACCCACTGTGCCACAATGCCTGCTCGTCATCACGTAACCTGAGATCGTATCCTTTCAAATATGTGAAGCCCTGGCCTCACCACACCAGTAAACTTTGTGAAGCAGACGATCTCATTTCTGGGTGAAATCATCATCCATGTATGTGTTGTCTGTAACGTGAGTTTCTTTTTATAATTGACAAAAGTATGTATATTATCTCATGCGACGCGACCTCCAGACCCTGGCCCAGGGCTCCTACCGGCTGCAGCGTGTTTCACGTGCTGTTCTTTGGAGCTCAGGGGTCCCAAGGCTTCCTCCGCAGAGGGTCAGGGAAACGGCACTTTTTTAACCAGAGCAGTTCTGCTTTTATTTACTTTGTCACAACAGTGAGTAATAATTGCCAGTAATTGGGGGCATTTGCTGCATGCCAGGAACTGCCACAACCATCCCATGGGGCAAGAGTTGCAATCCCATTTTATGGATCAAGGAGTGAGGACTGAGGCCACACGCCTAGGGCCGGGTGTCTCTGATGTCGGTGTCTGAGCCACAGGCAGAGACCTCTCTGCCTGTTTGCACTGCACAGTGGGCTTCTGTGGCTCTTTGGGAAAAGGAGTTTTATTGCCAAAGAACAGTCCCAGGGGCCAGCTGGGCCTGGATCCTTGGGTCAGAGGACTTTTGACAGGACGGGAGCTGCAGACCAGAACTGCTCTGTGTATTCAACAACAACAACCTCATTGCAGAAGGGATAGAAAATGCAGATGAGCAAAAAAAAAAAAAAAAAGATAGGGGCTGGCACTGTGGTACAGCAGGTAAAGCTGCCACCTGCTGCACTGGCATTCCCATATGGGTGCTGGTTTGAGTCCCGGCTGCTCCTCTTCCAATCCATCTTCCTGCTAATGTGCCTGGGAAAGCAAAGGAAGATGGCCCAAGTGCATGGGCCTCTGCATGCACTTGGGAGACCTGGAAGAAGCTCCCGGCTCTTGGCTCCGGATGGGTCCAGCTCCAGCTGTTGCAGCCATTTGAGAATTGAACCAGCGGATGGAAGATCTTTCTCTGCCTCTCTATAACTCTGCCTTTCAAATATATAAATAAATAAATCTAAAAAAAAAAAAAAACAAACCAGGGGCCAGCTCCGTGGCGCAGTAGGTTAATCCTCCACCTGTGGCACCAACATCCCATATGGGCACTGGTTCTAGTCCCGGCTGCTCCTTTTCCAATCCAGCTCTCTGGTATGGCCTGGAAAAGCCGTAGAAGATGGCCCAAGTCCTTGGGCCCCTGCACCCATGTGGGAGACTGGAGAGGGGCACCTGGTTCCTGGCTTGGGATTGGTGCAGCTCTGACTGTTGCAGCCATTTGGGGAGTGAACCAACGGACGGGAGATCTTTCTCTCTGTCTCTCTCTCTCACTGTCTGTAACTCTACCTCTCAAATAAATAAATAAAATCTTAAAAAATAAATGATACAAACCACCCCTAATCTCCTCATGATGAAGCAAATAGCAGATTGTGGAAAACCTTCCAGGGTACATAGGAAATAATATTTGTTCATATGGTTTCTTTACTTGTTGATAGAGATGCTACCTCGTAGAATGTGTATCACTGAAAATATTCAATTTTGCAATTTCTTGTACTGCACTGTGGTGATGCATTCATGTACAGGTTTGTCACAGAATGGGAGAAGAACGCCCACTGTGCACACCTGGGTACCAAGCAGCAGAGGGACCTGTCCCTCCACTCCTGACAACGGCAGGCACAAACGCCGCCTGGCAGCACTGAGCCCTCCGCAGCCGTCGTCTCTGCCTCCTAACCATCTCCCTGGGAGGTCAGTCTAAGGAAGAGGTCTAATTATCCCTGTTTTATGGAGAAGGAAGCTCAAGGGCGCAGAGGTCATGTGACCTTGCCAGCTGGCCCCTGTGCCGTCCCCTCCTGCCCTCGCCTCCTCTGAAAATGGCAGGCGGCGGGCAGCCGGCAGACGCCAAGCAAATGAATTCTCGGAGAAGCCGCCGGCTGCTGGCAGAGCCCTCTGGCCCCTGTGGAGGGCTGAGGATGTGGGCAGAGGCCCAGGCAGCTGCCAGGGGCCCGGGGCCCTGCCCGGCGCCCTGGGGATCCCCTGCTGCCAGGGCCTGCAGAGTCTGCTTCGTCTCTTAGCAACTGTTGGTGGCATCCACAATAAAGGGGCTGTGAGAGCGGGGTTGGATCCTGTTTCAGAGTCCTGAGGTTTTCAGCAGAGGGTTGCTCTTTTCCTTGCCAGTGCACTGCCCTTGAGCCCAAGGTCAGCCTTGCAGGGTCCAGGCGGGAGCTGGGCTGTTCAGTGCCTTCCCCACTCCCCTGCCCTGTAGCAGGGTC